AGTGAGCTTCAACAACTTCTTTGACTTCCTTGTCTTCTTTTTTCTTTCTTCCCACGTTGGGTTTTGCTAAATTGGTTTGTTACTCTTAATTGCAGGATTAATCAAAGGATGAGATTCCAACGCATATACAAATACAACAAATCCCAAACTTTCTCGGCTAGTGGAAACAAAAATCACAAACGAAGCTCAAATCTCGGCAATTTAAAGTAACCAAACAAACAGATTTTAACAAAAAATAAAACATTTGGAAAGCCGGAACTGATTGATTACCCGATGGTCGGTCGCCGGAGGGTTCGATTAGTCGTGAAAAGGGAAAGGACTCAAAGGAGACAACTTTTCTTTTCTTTTTCACAAAGGCGACAACTTTAAACCGGTTACATTACCATTTAAAATAATCTTCTTTTTTTTTTTTTTACAAAATTCGTCTTAAACCGATGAGATAGAAACTCGGTTATTTACCAAATCAATTAAACCGGTTACATTTAATTTACTTGACAAGGATTTATTGAGTTTGGTGGTGCCGATCTCTGGGTTTTCCGGCGACTTCGCCTTCTATTGACGGGTAAATTTTATCTCTCTGATGCTTTATGATTGTGTCTGGTTCTTTTATGTTATTTTGAGCTCAGTTGAATTTTGTGGGTGGGGGGTCGTTTTTGAGACATGTGAGGTTTGGGGTTTTTAGTTCATAAGAGCAAGAATTGATGGATTAGTTTATAAAGAATTATTTATTGTTTATCGAAATTTGTAACAGGTGAATTTCAGAAAGCTGAAGCTTTTTACACACCAGAATTATTATGACATATTGATATTGGGTTGAAAATTTCAAATGTGATATCGAATCTTCGTTATTCCAAACTAAAGTCTTAATGGCCTCTCATTGTGCATATCTTCTGTTAAACACCCATCTCTTTGGTCTTTTCGTGTCACTCGCTCTACTGATTTACAGTGTTCTGCCATCATTTCTGATAGACTAGTACACTGCCTAGTTTCTTTTGTTGGACTTGATAAGTTTCGAAATGTGAAATGTCAACCTGCAAACTTCTCAGAGAGATTCTAGTATTGCTATGTGATGAGATAAGCAATATGCATCTCCCATCATTGCAACCTTGGCTGAAATATCCCTACCTTTGATAATCTCTAGACCCTAAAAATGAATTCATATTGTTTAACTGGTGTATTAGAGTTGTTTTAACTTTGATAATTTCAGATTCAGCAAACGGGAAATCGAAAGAAAACAGATTCAGTGCTTACGATCCCTGATGATTATATCTACCAACAAAGAGGTTGATTGGTTTGAGCTGCCAGATACACGAGGTAACATCTAGTAGGCGCAACCTTATAGTAACACTCCTATTTCTGACTCTTAAAAAGACATAGAGTGGTCCACAAGCAAAGTTTCATGGGAGGCTCTGTTTTCATTGGCCCATTAATACACACATAAATCCACCTTTTGTGTATATGGTTGTAGATAGACATAAAATGATACAAGGCAGAGCCATAATTATAGAAAGTTTTATGAACCTTTTGAATGGTGGAACCAAGCAAGGTCTTGTCGAGTTTCGAGTAATCTGTAGGAAACATTATCTTTAACAGTATGTACCACTTAGGCACTGACTGTGTTGTAGTCAAGAGGAGAAGTAAAGAGTAATATGAAGTGAGAAAGAATCTTTTCCTATTAGTGGTTATAAACTTGACCCTTAATCTTTCTCATAGATATATCTTACTTAGCTAAAGCCTAAGGCTAAGTTACCTCAAGCTCATGCTTCAACTCTCTCTGCAAGTTGCAACGTGAAGCCAATAAGACTGTCAAATCATTTTCAGTCGTATCCTTAACCCTCGTGGCTGGTGTGATCATTTACTCTCTCTCGTACTAATTACTCTATTTCTGGGGGATGTTCACAGTCGCGGTATATTTTTAGGAGTATACCCACAGCCAAGCAAAACAAAATTTTTTGGTCCATTTGTTCATCAAAAATAATTTTTGGCCCACTAATTCATAAAAATAAGTAAAAAAACGGATACAATGATTGAACCCAGTGCCTGGAAGACTAAGAGAACGCGCTGAACCAGTTGAGCTACTAGATTATTATATAAGAAAAAGGCCCCTAAAATACTTAAACCTAAAAAAGGCCCCAAAAATGTGCTTCATCAGCTCGTATCCAAGGCCGACTCTGAGTATACCGCGACTTTATAAAGATTTTCATATGACCGGAATATGGTATGAAAAGATTTAGTATTGTTGGAAGCTTTGAAGGATGAATTTGCCCTATAGCC